ATGATGAGTCAGTTCCTATTTATACAGTTCATCTTCAGCAGCTTTGGTCTCTATACCAAATTTTGTGTTTGTCCATTAAGGATTGAAATGTGACTCCTGTATCTGTAATTTTATATGATGTGGGCTATCATGTTTATTTTTCATGCATTGCTAATGGTAAAAAAAGAGGCTGGATAAACTGAAGGTATAATTTGTAGTTTATATTTTCAAGCAGCTTGGAATCAAAACTGGACATGCAAAGATTTTTACATTGTTTTACTGACTAATAAGTAAACAGTGAGATTTTTGTTTTCAGGTTAATGGTCCAGTGAGACTGAACCAAAGGACAGTTGCTGAAGTAGTTTTCATGAACCCAATCAACAAGATGCTGACGGACTGCACTCTGACTATCTCTGGAAGTGGTCTAATGGATGGGGAGGAAAAATGCATGTATGTGTGAAAGATCTGCTACCTTAATTATTTATTTTGAGCCAAGAGGGAAAGGCAGTAAAAATACTGACTGTGTGAGTGAATGGGTCAATGCTCTATCATTAAGACAGAAAAATCTAGAATTTAATTTTTATTCTTTCTCCTGCAGCCTCTGGAAGTGTTTAAGGGTCTGAGAGTAACATGAAGATTAAATATAAAAACAGAAATCAAATTTGAATTCACAAGTACAAATGGGTTGCTTGTCTCTCTAATATTGATAAAAACCTGCTCTGGAGCGGTTTAGGTCTGCAGCATAAGTTACATAACTATAAACAGCAGTGAGAAGCAAACCACCTTTGTAACACTGAAAAACAAGTGTTAGCTCTGACGTTACCTGAATAAGCCCAAATCCTGCTTCATAGTACAGGCCTCAGGACTTTCTAAAGAACGTAGCCCCAGCAAAATCCCTTGAAGGAATCATGATAAGAGGGTCATCTCTTTGTAAAAGTCTTTTCCGCAGTCTGAAGATTTCAGATTTTACCATATCTCAACATTGTTTGGATGTCTGGCAAAGTTGTCTTTTCAACAGGCTTCTACCGAGTTGTTACTGTGTATAAAATGTTATGTCAAATCCACAAACTAAACATCAACCTTAACAGTTCTGTATTACTCTTATGTTTCCCACAGACTTCCAAATCTGAGGCCAAGCAACAGGATACGTATCCAGTTGCCCTTTTTTCCAAAGAAGACTGGAAAGAAAACTCTCATGGCTGACTTTGACTGCTCCTCCTTCAGAGACCTGAAGTGCACCTGCACTTTCGATGTCCTACCATAAAACCTACCAGTTTATTTCAGGCTTATAATTCATTCATTCATTTTTACACAACTCTGTAT